TTAATTCTTTATTTAAAGTTATTTTAGTTTGTTTTTGTAAGGGGTCGTAAGTCAAATTGTCATAAGTTTTTTTTTTAAGTTAAATATGAAACTTATTCTTTTTTAAAGATCAGTTCTTTTTTTTATGGGTCGTAAATCAAAATTTTTTTAGATTCTTTTTGTCAGCGCAAATCTTGTTTAAGTTGGAGATGGAACTAATTCTTTATTTAAAGTTAAGTTCTTTTAGTTCGTTTTTGTTAGACCCGGGTCTTAAGTCAAATTGTCATTAATTTTTTTTAAGTTGGATATGAAAATTATTCTTTTTTTAAAGATTAGTTGTTATACTTTGTTTTTGTAGGGATTGTAGATCAAAATTTTGTTTAGATTCTTTTTGTTAGGGCAAATATGGAACTAATTCTTTATTTAAAGATCAGTTCTTTTAGTTCGTTTTTGTTAGGGGGTCGTAAGTCAAATTGTTATTAGATTCTTTAAGTTGAATATGGAACTTATTCTTTTTTTAAAGATCAGTTCTTTTACTTCGTTTTTGTAGAGATCATAGGTCAAAATTTTGTTTAAATTCTTTTCGTCAGGTCAAATTTCAAGTTAGAGATGAAACTAATTCTTTATTTGTTCGCTTTTGGGTAGGACACATATTTTTTAAATTCTTTTAGTCGTTGTAGTCTGTTTTAGATAGTGATTATCCTATGGAACCAGGCGCCCAGGAGTTTCCTATAAAACCCTCATTTTTATTCCTTCCATTTAGACCCATTTTAGTTCAATTTCACAATCTTCAGGTTGTTTAATTAAATTAATATGGTAGATGGGTCTTGAAAGTACTTTTTGGATTTTGTCTCGGAACATCGGTAATCCGTGCTAACCCGTTTTTAACGTGGAGCATGTTGTTGCGCACCGGCGCTAATCTATTTGTAACTTAATTATCTGTCGTTTTCCTTTTCTACCCTTCCCATTATCCTAATTCCTTCATTTGGACCTGACATGGACTTCTTGGAACTTCAGGGTGCGAGTGAATCTTATATGGGAGTATGTATACAACCAGTTAATTTGTTTTTTGCGTGTTTTTGTTTATTTAAATACTTTATCTGTTTTAGGAAATTTTAGGTACATAATATGATAAGGAGGGTGGAGGGTAACTCCGCCAGGTATTTTTAACCTGCCGGTCCCAAGCCCGGCTAAAGGAGGAGGGCCCTCACTCTTTTTTCTATTTTTTTTAGATTGTTTTCGTCGGGTCAAATCTTGTTTAGGTTGTAGATGGAACTTAGGTGGTTTTTGTCAGGTTGGAACTTTTTCTTTTTTAAAGATCAGTTCTTTTGGTATGAACTTAATACTATAAAGTACATAAGTCAAATCTCTTTTAAACAGGGTTAAACCTGATGATGATATCATTAAAAATTTGTTTATTTGCCCTGAAAAAATCTAAATATAATATTAAACTTACAACTTACAACAGAACCATATTTTTTTATTAACTTTAATACCCTGTATCTTGAAAACAAAGCTTTAGAGCTTACTAGTTCTTATACCTACATTTTTCTTCCTATTTAAGTTCGATTACAAAATTTTTAAGAATAAAATCTGAGAGACACCCTATAAACATGTATACAGGTACAATTTATTATTATATTATTGTCGTGCCGCCAATTTTAAATTAAGCGGCACGGCAGTGATGACGTTTTTTATCTATTACGTCACTAGCGTGCCCGTAAAAAATAAATTGCAGGCACTCTAACGTGCACCTAGTCACTTCGTTGTTTATTTTGTTATTTTTATGGTTTTTTGTTAACAATAGCCAGGACCGGCTCAAAATTTAATTAAACTTGGAAGGCCTATAACTCTTATTTTTGAGTTTTGATAAAAAAGTTACTTAAAATATTTACTTGTTTATCTGATTTCTACACGCTGTTAAAAGGAACGCGTCAACTTAAAACTCACCCTGTACTAGTTTATTTTTTAAGAAAATTTCGTGAGATACAAAATAAAAAATGACTTAATAAAAACAAATGTAACTTTAAAAATTATTTTCTTGGAATCTGTGCTGTATAAAAATATGAAATTATTTGTGAATGTGCCTGATGCCTTACAAAATCATGTACCTATTAAATTTTGAAGACATTCTATGGGAACTCTTTAAATAAAGATCCCTTAATAATACAAATACTTTTTGTGTTAAAAAAAATATCGGAGGCATTGGCCTTATGGCAACACCTTGAGGCCGTCCATAAATCTTGTGACGCTAAAAATGATCAAAATTGACGAATTATTATCAAACGCCGATTCTCCTTGAAAGAATGGCACCTAAATCAAATAATTACCAAGAAAAAGCAGGTTTGGTTAAGTTGTATTAACTTATTTTTTAATTATACAGGGTGTTTCAATAAAAACTCCCAGGCCAATTATTTCGAAAACTAAAAGTGACATTTAAATTCTGTAAACGCCAGTTTTTAGTCTCTATGATTAGCTTCACAAGTGTGTAAAAAAATTGTTTGAATAATACAAGATGTAGGTGGCGCCACTGTGCAAAGAATTTTTTCGATGGCAGGAACTTTTAAATTAATTTTTGATCAAATTATGTCCCATACAAATTTTTGATAAATCCAACATGAAAGGAGATATTTGGGGTTAAGTTTTTTTTTTAATAATTTTAACGAGTATTTTAATTATAAATATTTTAATATGCTTTAGCGGATGATCATTTAATTCTGGTAATCATAATTATAGTGATAAAACGCTTGTGTAGCGCTAACTAGATTAAAATTATTACGTCCAGTGACGCCTCAGGGGGCCCCTTAACAAATAACATTGGCAAAAAATAATACGCCACTGAGTTTTTGGTAATTTTTATATTTTTTTCGGATTAATCAACTAAAAATATCCTTTTTTTGTCTGTTAAATTGTTTTCATATCTTGCTTCGTTTTCGAGAAATACAAATAAAACTATTTGGAAAACAAAAATCATTAAGAAACAAAACCATAAATTATTAATACGCTATATTTTTTGCTGTTTAAAAACAAAGGTGAAACATTAAAACATTATAAAATAAAATTAAAGGATGTTTTAAATTTTATGAAAAAGTGGTAAGAAATTATAAAAAAATATTAAAGAAAATTAGAACAATACCAAAAACTAACTAATAAGGTCGAATAAGGTGTTCAAAATTATTGCCGTTTTTATACACACATATCAAATCGAAGGTGAAACATTAAAACATAATAAAATAAAATTAAAGGATGTTTTAAATTTTATGAAAAAGTGGTAAGAAATTATAAAAAAATATTAAAGAAAATTATTGCCGTTTTTATACACAAATATCAAATCGATATAATAATTCAGTTCTGCAAACTTTCAATAGTGTATTTTGATTAATAGCGGCTATAGTAACATATATTTTGTTGTACAGGTCAGCCATGTCTTCTATTGGTTCCTTGTAGACTTCATTTTGTAAGCCGCCCCATAAATAAAAGTCAGGGGACCTTGCTGACTATCTAAGATCCCCATTTGTGCTGATCACTTTTCCTGAAAACGTCATTTAGATGATTTATAACGATAATGCTCTTGTGTGCTGGGGCACCGTCTTGATGAAACCACATAGTATTAACGTCAATTTCCAAATTTTGTAACAGCAAAGTGAGATCGTTTTGCAGAAATTGTAAATAACGAACTGAAGTTAAATGTTCATGGTACAAATAGGGCCTGAATATGTACAATACCGCACCAAACATTTACCCCAAATCGTGTTTAAAATTTAGTCTGTCGTATCCAGTTAGGATTTTCCTGGGACCAATAGCGACAATTATGTTTATTAATTACTCCATTATTGTAAAACCGGGATTCGTCACTCCACATAATTTGGTTTAATAAATTTGGATTTTCTTCCAAAAGAATATGAAAATGTGTCAAAAAGTTTAATCTGCGCTGGTTATCTCCTTATTGTAGATGATGTACTAGATGAACTTTGTATGGAAGAAACATATTTCCTTTTATGAACTTACTGAAATATTGGTTTCATCTTTTAATATTGAAATATTAGTTTCATCTTTTAATTTTCGTAATGACGATGGTGGGTTATTTTTTACTGATTGGAGGACTAAACCTACATTTTCGTCAGTCGTATCCCTCTTCCTTCTTGGAAACATTTCCTTTTTAAAGCTACCATATGTAGCTAAGTTGGTACACAAAGCTACAAAAGATTTGCGATCTGGCGTTGTTCTCGATAGCAGCGCACAGCTTCTGAAGCATTTTGATGTCATTCTCCATAAACTAAAACCATGTATGTTTAATTTGTCTTGATTTGTATGGTGAACCATTTTTATTTTAGAAATGTAGAAATTGCAAATTCTTACACTGACACTAAGTAAAGAAAAATTTACTTGATGTTTCTAAAATTCATTTGTTTTTATTTAATGATTATTGTTTTCCAGAGATATGCAGTGAAATGGTTTTATTTTTATTTCTCGAAAACGAAGATATGAAAACAATTCAACAGACAAAAAAGGATATTTTTAGTTGAATAATCCAAAAAATATATAAAAACTACCAGACACTCAGTTGCGTATTATTTTTTGCCAATATTATTTGTTAAGGGGCCCCCTGAGGCTTCACTGGATGTAATAATTTTAATCTAGTTAGCGCTATACGAGCGTTTTATCACTAAAATTATCATTACCAGAATTAAATGAACTCTGCTAAAGGATATTAAAAATATTTATAATTAAAATACTCGTTAAAATTATTAAAAAACTTAACCCCAAATATCTTCGTTCATGTCGAATTTATCAAAAATTTGTATGGGACATAATTTGATCAAAAATTAATTTAAAAGTAGCTGCCATCGAAAAAATTCTTTGCATTGTGGCGCCACCTACATCTTGTATTATTGAAAAACATTTTTCACACAGATGTGAAGCCAATCATAGAGGCTAAAAACTGACGTTTACAGAATTTAAATGTCACTTTTAGTTTTCGAAATAATTGGCCTGGGAGTTTTTATTGAAACACCCTGTATACAAAAAAAAATAGCTTAATAAAAATAACTTGTACATAAAATGTTACTGCACAAATGCAGTAACTTCATCTATTATATTTTTAAATTTATCTGCCTTAAATATCAAAACTCTTCTAAAGGGTGTTACTTGCTTATCTTCTGACAGCCATTTTCCAGCCAGACCTGAATCAGCTTCATTTTCTACGTTAAATTCAAAGTTAATAATTGATTTTTTCGCGAAGATTTCTTCTTCAGCATTTGTAAAGGTTTCTTCACCATCTAAAAATATAAATTGTATTAAATGTTGTTTTCATGTTTTTTTTTTACCTTTTTCTCCCTTCGGTTTGTATGTTTTACAAATCATAACAAAATACTGGAAATTATAGGACTGATCTTTTTTCTTGAATCTTTCAATTTCGTCGTGTAAAGACGTCAACATAACCGTAGAAATTTTGGCTGGAATATTAACAAATCTCTCATTTATTAAAAATCCAAGCCTATTCGAAGATTGCAAGATTTTCTTGATATTCTCTTGAACTTCATTGCTCGAATGCTTCCCACTAACTTCCTCCAACAGTTTATACAGTTGTACCACACAGGGTGTTTCCCTGTGGGATGTCAAGTTTAAGACACTCGTTATTCCAAACACATCGGATTCCTCGACCATGTCCACATCCTCTTCGTCGTCGCTATCGTTGTAGCTTTGTTTGAGGACGGAACCAACGCCGTTTTGTTGGATTAACATGTCGCTGATTTGAGATAAGTCGATGTGTGCTTTTAAAAATAATTGAACAAGTAACTGCTTGATGCCGTGGAAATCTTGCCCCTCTGGGTTACGCCCTTCAAAAGTCGCCTGAACTTCCTACAAAAACATTATTTTAGATGAATTTTATATTAAAACACGTGTGTTTGTATGTCGTTAACCTCAACAAACAAAAAACATACATTTTGTCCATGGTAAGTGCCCTCCTCACTTTCTTCATCTTCGCTCATAACTTCCTCTTCGGATTCTTCCTTTTCGGTCGGTTTAGTTTTTTTCGTGGGTCCTGCCATTATTTTTAACAATATAAAACACCTAAACCGACACACAAGCAATTTTGAAGTATTGAGGTTAGGTTCGTATGCGCTGAAGTGTTGCCAACTTAGGGATTTTTCTCTAGTTAGGGATTTAAAAAAAGTAATAATGGGTTTGTTCCTACCGAGCATTTGGACCATAGAGCCATAAAGAAGCTCGACTCTTTAGCCTCATTCAGAACCTCGTAATTAGTGGAATAAATTAGTGGTTTTAATTAACGTAAAAGTTTGTCTTATGAATATACACAGTGTTGTTCACAACCAAATAATTAGTGGTAGTACTTTTCAATTAGTGGAAAAAGTTTGCAAACTTCTAACTTTTACCACTAATTATATTTGGAAAGCGGCTTTGCGCATGTGCGCGGATATTTTATGTCAAAACCAAAAAGTTTGAAGATTAGCCAGTAAAGGTACTTACCTTAACCTTATGTTCTGTGCCTTAAGGTTATATAAATATTATTGTATTGGTTGTAAAAAATATTATTTTAATATAATTAATATTGTTTATGTCAGGTTAAGAAAAATGGACAATCTTTTAGCAAATTTCCTTAATTTTAGATGCTAATTTTGCGCATTGTGAATGATCGTTTTGTGTTAATTATAAGTATAATTGAAACCACTAATTTTTTCCACTAATTACGAGGCTTTTTCCTGTAAAAGGTTTTTTTGGAATTCTTAAAGATCCTGAAAACTGTGTTCTTGTTTTAGTGATTTAAAACGTAATTCTTGAGGCGGCAATCAGTTTCCAATTTAAATGATAAATTGCGATAATTAATAGTAAATTGTTTGTGGTAAATCACTACCCAATTTCTTAATTATTTGTATATTTTTTACACAGAATGTGTAATTGAGACGACAAATCAAATATCTATCGGTAATATTGATATTAAATAAAAAATACTGGATTATTTTATTTTAATATTGAAAGAATATTTGTAAGAATAACATAATGAAGTTTTTATTTATACTCCTACTTTTTATAGGCATTAATGCAAAATTTAATTTTACAAAAAATATTGCCAATAAAGGTGAATTTGGTTCGGAAATGAAGAAATTTATAAAAGAAATGGTTAGACAAACTTATAAAGAGAAAAATGGATTTTTAATTCAAAGAATCAATGAAGTAGATGAAGAAAAATTTGAATGTTTTTTGAGCGAATTAAGAAAAATGAATGTTCCTGGCATTATTCTTAGCTATGCCAAAATTCTTAATAGCAGAAAAGATACCATATTGAATTGGGTAAGTAAATTTTTAATGTGCAATATTGCTACCGTTGGACGGTAGATGGCGCTGAGAGTTCATTCACTGAGTTGCCACCGCTGTTGCCCTAGCTTGCTACTATAAAACAGCGGTAGGCGTCTTGTTCGGATGTGCTTTGCGCCACCTGGCTACCCGACACTGATGAGGGCCAAAAGATCGAAACAAACTGTGTGTCGGTGCGTGGAGCAAATAATTAATTTAAATCCATTTCAGTACGAGACCTTTCCTCTGAAATTCATTATGCTGGATCCAACAAAAAACTATGAAGACGCGCAGCCATTTTTTAACCGGTTAAAAAACTTGCGCTTCAAATTAGTTTTATTATTCACCAAAAATCCATACGAATTAATCGTAAGCTACACGATAAGATTGTACGCTTCTATAAAATATACCAACCTAATTATATCGTACGAAGATGACAATGGAAAAGTTAGAATCCATACTGTTAATCCTTTTTTGCGCTCACCTGAGGTGCAACTTTCTCTGAAAGATGATTTTTTTGCTGAAAAAGCCAGGCATTTACATGGATATACCATAAATGCCCTAGTGACAAACTTGGATGTTACCAAAGTTAAATTTCAAGAAATGGATGGCGTTAAAAGATATTTTGAAAAAGACGTTACAACCATTCAAACCATTGTAAGTTTTCTTGGAGGAAAACTAAACATTTTAAATATCGACGATGTAAAATTGAATCGGGATGAAAATCCTTGGAGCAAGGCTTCGCTCATACAAAACAGTACAGATGAAAAAGAAAAAATTGTGAAGGAGTTTGATGTATCCATTTTAATTAATTCTGAAATGTTCGCCTCTGGTGATTCTGTTTTTGAGAATATTTATCCCCATACAACAAATAATTTGCATATTGTTTCCAGAAAGGCTAACTCTTTAACGAGCTATCAGAATGTTGTTAACTCTTTTTCTGTTGGTTTATCCATTATTATATTCCTTATGCCATTAGGTAAGATTATTGCACAGAACTCCTATTATTTAGAAGATAGGTCTAAGGTCTAAAATAAGACTAAGATGGATCTAAGATAGGTCCAAGATAGATCTAAGATCAAATTGGAACAAGGTTTTCATAACAATTGTAGATCTGTATCTTCTAAAATACAGGAAGATTTTGATTAAATTATTTAATATTTATTTTTTTAGCAATTTCTTTAATAATAATCGTTACAACAAGGAAGAGGAGTTTTCTTTTTATCCGCAACATAGTTTTTGATTTTTACAGAATATTCTTAACAAACATTTCCTTCAATAAATTGATAAACCAACACCAAAGAATCATTGTCGTATCGTTTATGGCTTATACATACATTTTAAGTACTATAATACAAACTAAACTGACCAGCGTTTTCAGTATTAAACCGCAATCAACGGATATAAACACCATGGAACAATTATCACGACATTTGATGCCTATTTATACTTACAAACCCTATTTGGATGAAATTAAAAAATATAATGAATCCAGCTTATCTTCAATCATCGATCAGATTCATCTTTATAAAAAAGACTATTTAAGTGGAACCACGGATGATATAATTTATTATTTCAATAATTTTGCCGAAATGTATTCATTGGATGATTATGATTCGGCTCTATATGTGCAGAGATCTAGGAGAAATTTTGTAAATGGTAATAATCACTCAATGATTTTAAAAGGGGCACACTTTATTTATTTTTAGGACGACCAATGTATCATTTGATGCGCGAAAGCATAATGCCGTCCTTTCAATCCTTCAAAATACGATATGGTTCACCCATAATCCCAATGGTGAATTCAGTTCTTCGTCGACTTAGCGAAGGGGGTCTCATAGATTTATGGAAACGACAAACTATTTTCGAGGCTGTCATTAAAAAAGATTTATATCCTGAATATTCAGAAAGTTACGATACTGTCGATCCTTTAAATATTAATGATGTTCTATTCGGTTTCGAGGCTTTGATGTTAGGATGTTTTTTTTCTTTAGTGGTTTTTATTGGAGAAGTTTCACTAAATTTGTATCTTTCAAGAAGAACATTCGAATGTTTTACAGGATTTTATTAGTTTTTATAAACAAAAATAATCTACGAAAAATTTAACAACATTGAAACATCTACGGTCTTTATTTCTGCCTAAAGTGTTAAAGTAATAACTATAGTGTAAAATTTCAAAAATAATTTATTCTAGCATTACATACCTATTGTATAATAAACAATGTATATATATCGGGTCAAATAAATGTATTATTTAATTCTGTACCTATAGTTTATAATAGTATAATACCAACCCAATTATAACGTACGAAGATGAAAATGGAAAAGTTAGAATCCATACTGTTAATCCTTTTTTGCGCTCACCTGAGATGCAACTTTCTCTTAAAGATGAATTTTTTGCTGAATAAGCTAGGCATTTACATGGATATACCATAAATGCCCTAGTGAAAAACTTGGATGTTACCAAAGTTAAATTTCAAGAAATTGATGGCGTTAAAAGATATTTTGGAAAAGACGTGACAGCGATTCAAACCATTGTGAGTTTTCTTGGAGAAAAACTAAACATTTTAAATATCGACGATGTAAAATTAAATCGGAATGAAAATCCTTGAAGCAAGGCTTCGCTCATACAAAACAGTACAGACGAAAAAGAAAAAAATGTGAAGGAGTTTGATGTATCCATTTTAATTAATTCTGAAATGTTCGCCTCTGGTGATTCTGTTTTTGGGAATATTTATCCTCATACCACAAATAATTTGCATATTGTTTCCAGAAAGGCTAACTCTTTAACGAGCTATCAGAATGTTGTTAACTCTTTTTCTGTTGGTTTATCCATTATTATATTCCTTATGCCATTAGGTAAGATTATTGTACAGGACTCCTATTATTTAGAAGATAGGTCTTAGGTCTAAAATAAGACTAAGATGGATCTAAGTTAGGTCCAAGATAGATCTAAGATCAAATTGGAACAAGGTTTCCATAACAAATGTAGACCTGTATCTTCTAAAATACAGGAAGATTTTGATTAAATTATTTAATACTTCTTTTTTTAGCAATTTCTTTAATAATAATCATTACAACAAGGAAGAGGAGTTTTCTTTTTATCCACAACATAATTTTTGATTTTTACAGAATAGTATTGACAAACATTTCCTTCAATAAATTGATAAACCAACATCAAAGAATCATTGTCGTATCTTTTATGGCTTACACATACATTTTGAAAATGGAAAAGTTAGAATCCATACTGTTAATCCTTTTTTGCGCTCACCTGAGATGCAACTTTCTCTTAAAGATGAATTTTTTGCTGAATAAGCTAGGCATTTACATGGATATACCATAAATGCCCTAGTGAAAAACTTGGATGTTACCAAAGTTAAATTTCAAGAAATTGATGGCGTTAAAAGATATTTTGGAAAAGACGTGACAGCGATTCAAACCATTGTGAGTTTTCTTGGAGGAAAACTAAACATTTTAAATATCGACGATGTAAAATTAAATCGGGATGAAAATCCTTGGAGCAAGGCTTCGCTCATACAAAACAGTACAGACGAAAAAGAAAAAATTGTGAAGGAGTTTGATGTATCCATTTTAATTAATTCTGAAATGTTCGCCTCTGGTGATTCTGTTTTTGAGAATATTTATCCTCATACCACAAATAATTTGCATATTGTTTCCAGAAAGGCTAACTCTTTAACGAGCTATCAGAATGTTGTTAACTCTTTTTCTGTTGGTTTATCCATTATTATATTCCTTATGCCATTAGGTAAGATTATTGTACAGGACTCCTATTATTTAGAAGATAGGTCTAAGGTA